GAGATTGCCCAAGGCTTGTTGAAAACTCGGTTTTGACCTTCAGCACAGCGAAAACTGACGGAACCTTTTATGACCTCCTTTTAAAAGTTCTGCCAATTTTTAATCCGTCAAATGATAGACCTATATGGACTTTTTCATAGAAGTTTGCCTTTTTTTATTACAGTTATTTTGAAGGTGAACGTCCTAGTTCAATTTAAAAAAAATAACTGGTTCGTTCGATCACTTTACTGAACGAGATTGCCCAAGACTTGTTGAAAACTCGGTTTTGACCATCAGCACAGTGAAAACTTTCGGAACCTTTTATGACCTCCTTTTAAAAGTTCTGCCCGTTTTCAATCCGTCAAATGATAGACCTATATGGACTTTTTCATAAAAGTTTTGTACCCACCAAGAACCTGCAATGTAAAATTACAGTCATGAAAATACACCAAATGAGGCGGAGTTATGCCAAAACATGAGCCTATACTGACAATTTTCTGCTAAGAAATTTCGTGAGAAATTTACAAGAGTTCAGAACACCAATTTCCACCAAGTATGAAGAAATGGGCCGCACTTTTATGTGGGGACTATACCAAAGCGTAGGCCGATTTAACTCATTTTCAAAGCCAAACATACTTGGAGTTATACTAGGAAATTTTCAAGGCTCTACCTTAAATATTGCGATTTCTATCATGATTTCAACAAACAAACGGATGGATTGGCCTGAATGGACAGAGAATTTTATTCCGATAAAAAATATGTGTACATTCTGTATTGGTTCTCAGACAAATATTTGGAAGTTGTGAAAGGAGAAAAATACCCTCTGTAGGTCTCCAATGGATATAAGAACATCTATGGGTCTCCAGCTATAATTCTTTAATAACAGATCCTTCTGTTCCCAAATTAGCAATACTGGAAAAAACTGTTGCTTTTTATCATTTCTTCTCTCCATCTTCATTTATTTATTTGTCTTTCTTTGTTCAAGGTTTCATTATTGATCTTGGTCTTCAGTTTATTGGAATAATAATTTGTTTCCAGAGAAACCATTTCAAATACCAAAGCCACAATTTAGCATCGTTCAGTGTTTTTATGTTGCTGTTGCTTTTACTGTAGCCATTGTTTGCTGTTTCAGACGTTTTTTGAGAGAATCGTTACGAAAACAAACAAAATTGATGGAAATTATAATGGTCCCACTGTGTGAAATGGTGAATAATCAACAGCAGAAATTAATTTGTTCATGGAGCGTTATTACCCCGACTTCGTTCATAATTTATGGTGTGAGAATTTTTCTTCTTCAAATTTTAGTTTTTTTTTATAATGAGAATTTTTTATATTATTTGTTTGTTGAAGGAACTTAGCAACAGCAGCAGCAGGAGTTGTGGAATCAGTGATAGTAAATGGAATGGGGTCGAAAGGGCCAAAGCATAATTTAAATAATAAAATTTAATTTTTAAAAATATTAATATTGGCAATTGTTATAAAAAAAATATCTATCGGTAATCTTGCAGAATAAAATGCGATAATATGAAATTGAAAAACATTTTTTTATTATTATAAAATCCAATAGTATACTATGGAACATCAGTACTTACGCCGATTTTGAAGTACAATAATTCATTTTTGATTTGCACAATGCAAAACAACGCCATCGATGGTGGTGGGTAATCTTTCATGATTTTTTTTTATTTTAAATATTCGTATTTCTAAGACATTACATAACATTTATTCATGCTAAAAGGTAATTGAATTGAATATTTAATTAACATTTTTCATTTCTTTCAATAAAGATCCCATGAACGCATCTTCAAGTTATTACAATTTATTATCAACAATGTATTAATATTAATTATAGGTCATTTTAAATAATTCAAATTAAACGTTCTCCTATCTCTCTACACACTGAACACGTACTGCTTCTTTCATATATATTCACTGAACATATACCACGTATTTCTTCTGCTAACTGAACACAACTCTCTTGCAGCAGGGTTGTATTTTTACATCAAGTATAGTGACACTACTTTAACCATATGATGGAATACCTTATTCACCATTTACAAATACAACAGTGTTAGAATATTAAATGACCATATGATGAAAACTAAAATTCCCCATTGAAAATACAACACTGGTAAAATCTAAACATAACCATATGATGAAAAATACACCCCAGTGTAATTATAATGTTATCGAAAATATGGATATAAAATAAATACAACGCTGTGCATTATTTTGTAACTGAAAAAAGATTTTGAAAATGAAATTCAAATAAAATTATTTGTTACCCTGTAAATTGTATAATTCGTTCGGAATCAGAAACTGCCACCAAAATATTTTTAAATAATTCGCGCTAAAATATGGTTCATCTAAAGATATTTTTAAAAAATCAACTCTTCACGAAGGCTCTTCCAAAGCATAAGAAACCTACTCTTAATGAAGGTTCCTTCAAAATTTTTGTTATAAAATCCATATTTGTAAAAGGTCACTCCAAAAATAAATAAATTTCCACTCTTATAGGAGGTTCTTCCGAAAATTTATGGAAGACTTCTCCAAAAATATTTAAATTATACACGATTAATTAGGTTCTTGAAAAAATATACCAAAGAAAGTACCTCTAAAATATTTTTAATAAATTTATGGGTCGATTACGGATGGTAACCATAGATCCGTAATCGACCCATAAATTTATTAAAAATATTTTAGAGGAACTTTCTATGGTATATTTTTTCAAGAACCTAATTAGTCGTGTATAATTTAAATATTTTTGGAGAAGTCTTCTTTTATTTATTTTTGGAGTGACCTTTTACAAATATGGATTTTATAATAAAATTTTTGAAGGAACCTTCATTAAGAGTAGGTTTCTTATGCTTTGGAAGAGCCTTCGCGAAGAGTTGATTTTTTTAAAAATATCTTTAGATGAACCATATTTTAGCGCGAATTATTTAGTGGCGTTGCCAGTTGCCAAATTTGAATTATGGATGGCAACTGTTGTCAACTTCTGTTGATTCAAATAGAATTTTTTGGCAACCATTTATTTCTGGTTGCTGTTTAGACGTGTTAAACAATAATAACTGAAATTTGTAGGCTTCCCATAATGGCAAATATTATTACAAAAGAACAATTTGAGGTCTTAATTGCCCGGAAGGAAGCTCACCCAAATGTAGCATGCGGCGTGCGGACTTATAGTCAAACCAAAGCCACTATCGATAATCTGTGGAAGGCCATTTTAGGGGACCTTAACTGCTACGGCCCACCAACACGCATTCCAAATGAATGGCAGAGAGTGGCGAACATCTTCTTTTGGACCCATGATATGTACGTGTGTGTCATTTATACAGCCGACAACACCCGGGAATTTTGTTTTCGAATGAAAAAAATTGTATTCTTTCCTTTTTCCTCCTCTTTTCATTTGGAAACAATCCAAATTTTACACAGTTTTTCCTCTATTAGCCGGACTACTTCGGCCAAAACCACCGACATTGTGGGTTGAGCCATGCCAAGGTTGAAGTCATTGCCATGGGACTTTGAAACTTTAGAAAACTTCCCTCCGCTAAAAACATCAGAGTTACACACACTTTTAAGACCGCTGGGCTTTTCGGAAAGCAGGCTTTAAGGCTTCAACTAAGTACACAACAGCATCTTTTGGTAGCCGAAAATACGCCTTCAAGCTAAAATAAGCATTTGATTGAACATTTCTCAAAATATAAGCATCTACTCACAGAACTGATTATAGTTCTAATGGATTTATCTTTTAAATACCTTCCACTGATCTTATCATCAACACATATAATTATATTTGTACAAAAATTTTCATATAAAGAAGTTTCCCATTATTAAAAACCTCATGCTAATAGTTGTCCTCCATGGCATAATTTTGCCAGGGTAGTCCTGCTAAAATATTAAAAAAATGCTAAACATATTTTTAAAACATTAACGCTTAATGAAGATTCTTTCAGTAATATTTAAAAATAAATCCAAGGTCCATATAAAATATTTACAAAAAAATAAAATTTGTTTATGGATCCATTTTGAAAAATTTCCGCAAATGAATTTTTCACACTGCAAAAATCCTGAATGCCAAATTAACGCGTCATTTTTTGCGAATGCGTTTTTTAACCTTCAAAAATATATAATGCAAATTTATAGAATTTGAAAATTTGAAAAATACGTCTAGACATCTCAAGCATTACAACAAATTTCATTTCACTTGAATACGACAATTTTTACCAAAGATACAGCCGTTTTAAACAGATGTTATAAATGGTGCTGCCTTAAATACAGGGTGACACATAGAAGTGTCTATGCATTCCCTTTCACTCGTTTTTCATATTCAAATTTCTCCATCTTCCTTTTATTCTTCGTTAATAACTGTCAACAAACGTTTTACGTCGTCGCCAAATACCCTCTATTAGGTTTGCAATGCTGACGCCGTTAAACGAAATTCTCGGCTAAGCCTCTGATCGTTAACGAACATTTTGACGCCGTTAACAAAATGTTTGAGGCTTAATGGTGTGATCATCTCACAGTTGAACGAAGACGCGCATAGTGTGGCAGACGAACTGGAGTGGTCATATTTTTTTTTTGTGTGTTTGTTGGCTTTTGTTTGATTGCAATAAGAAGAAAAGAAACAAGAAGAACACAATTTTGCGGCACTTACAAACGAAACGACGATATTCTAGAAAAACAGTGCTTTGAATTATTAAAACAAAAAGAATTTGCAAACATCGACGACTATCGTGTGTGGTGAAATATAACGAAATAGTTTTTTTTTTAAAGCAACTTGTGGAAAAGAAGCGCAGACGCAAACGACGCCTTACAAATATTTGGGCAGAAAAATCAAAGAAAACAAGAAACGAAATTGTTGTATTAAAAAATCGGCAAAAATCCAATACAAAATAATATACGAATCTATTGAAATTATTGTGCAGTGAATCAGTAGTGTTGCCGTGAGTTGTTTATCACAAAGAAAGAAACTAGCTCGTTGGGCTTTACTTTTCTTGTCGTCTCCTTTTGTGTGTAAATTAATAATTTCCAAACAAAATGGGCTGCGCCGTAAGTACAGCGCGAGATAAGGAAGCTATTGAGCGTTCCAAAAGCATTGATCGTGCATTGCGTGAGGAAGGAGAGCGTGCCGCATCGGAGGTGAAATTATTGCTGTTGGGTGCGTCTGATTTTTTTATGTTATTTTTTTTTTTTTTTTTTAATTACTCAATTGCATTATTTTTTATTTTTATTATTATTTTTCTTTAAATAATGTTTACTTTCCTTGGATTTCCTTTCCAAAGAAATTTGTATGGGAAAAGTGTTTTTATTGTTTAGCGTTGTTGTTATTAATTCTTGTATATACGGGTGATTTATTGCAAATTACTCATCCTCCGTTTGCCGAAACCACCATGATTGGTAACTTCGTTTAAATAAGGAGAGGAAAAAGAGTGGGATGGGGGGACATTTGATTTTCTCAGAAATTCAACCAGTGTTATTTTTTTAGCATTGTCGTTGCTATTGTTATAAAATAAATTTGTTGTTACTGTTGGCTTGGACACTCACTTCTTGTTTTGTCTTGTCTTTCGGTGTGCTTCCATTTTTTTCGTCTTCTAGTGGCGGTATTTGTCTGTCAATCCATTTGCATGGGGTTTGTGCGCTTGTGTGTTTATCTGCTGTTTTTTGCGAATACAACTGTAATGGAGTACGAGAGAGAGAGTAGAATAATGTTGATGGGAGAGAAAATAGTTGTCATTATCATACAGGGAGTTGTTTAATTTCTTCTTCTGCCATAAAAATTGTGTGTTTTGAAACAGAAGTCTGCAAGATTCTTCTTCAAATTTTCTTAATTTTAAATCATTTTAATAATAACAGAAACTCATAACAAATATAATTAAATTATTTATTGTGTGTTGTATAATACAGGGTCAGGAGGGGGAAGAAAGAGATAATTGTCAAGCCGGGAGTTGTTGCTCGCCTAACTTCATCTATAAAAATGTGGTTTAATGCAACAAATCTGCACAATTTTTTATAATTGTTCTTGTATTTACAATTATTTAAAATGTGAACGTTTAAAAAAAAAATGTTAATAATGATGTATGGGAATAAAATTTGTTTTAGCTTATAGAGAGGATAATTGTATTATGTACGGAAAATTTCGGATGAGCTGATCCGTTTAGCAAAAAATGATTTTATAAATTATCATTTTTTTAAATTCAAAATCTTAAATAAATTATATATTTTTCTTTCATAAAGAAAACTGAGAGAAATTGAAAAATTGTTATTATTCTTATTTTACCTACATGAGAATGGCTTTGAGTGTAAGCGAGAGGATTTGTCGCCTATTAGCTGATAATTTAATTACAAATTTATTGGTTTTATTCTTTTTTCTAATATAATAATTATAATTTTAATAATGTCTTAAAATTGTTACAAAAAAGTAATTAACAATCTAGTGTTTGTTTATTCAAAAGAAAAGGTAGAGAGAGAGAGAGAGAGTAATTCTATGCAGACAGCTGCTGCTTTTTCTATCAAAACCTAATTTACTCTGCATTGCATTAAATTTTGTTTATTAAATAATTTAAATAGTTAATATTTCTTAGCAATTTACTATTTTATTTAAAAAAGATAAATATTCTTAACTAGGAAATTAAATCGATGAAGTTTTTCTTTTTGCAGAAAAGTGAAAGAGAGAGAGGGAGTTGAAGAGAGAAGCTGTGTATATCTGTCATCAATTTGGCGGGCTTCATTGCATAGAAGACTTTTGTGTCATGGACTCTATAGAAATCTTGTTAATTATTTTTTTTACTAAATTAAAGTTAAAAAAAACATTTTAGGGTTTATTTTGGGGCGAGAGTATGTTTATGGTACGCACATAATAACAAATTGTAATATATTATAAATAAATATATTTATTTAATTAGGTGGAAATAGATTGATCAGCATGGATATTGTATCCAATCAAAGTCAGACAATTCTAGAAATTAATGAAGAAAAATGTGAATTTAACTATGAACAATGTACTTGCCGGACTTTTGAGGATATTATATACCATCATTTTTGTCATGGGCCGTACATATAGAGTTACTGGCTTAGAATGGTATTGGATTCAATTCTGGCATAGATTCAACTCAATCACAAAATAGAGTACAATTCAAAATTTGCTTAGAAGAGGTAACATGGAGCGATTGAAGGTATACTATCATTTTAAATTAAATATTTATACCTTAAATAAATTACATTCTTACAGATATGAATTTCAAATACACATATGATTATCATGCCTCTGAGAAGAATTGTACCCAGATCCATATATTTTAACCAAATATTAAGATTTTTCGAATAAGACTTTAAATTCTGAGAGCGAAGGATTCAGGATTACAGATATAAAACATTCTTGGGAAACAGTCATTATACGTCCACTTTTTATTAGAGGAATTTCGGGTAATGTGGACTACCATTTTCTTTTTGTGACAGTGTCGGCGCACCAACGGTAAAAACAAATTATTTTCACAACATTGTAGATTTGTTGTCTAAATATATTCCGAGGTCAGGCATTACATATATATTTCTATATAAAAATGTTATTTCATTATTGGCGGGCAATGTGGATCAGTATGTTCGGGAAATGTTGACAAGTACGTTAAAAGGCAGGTTGTGGATTGTTTGTGATAAATTTCAATTTATTTCAATCTTGGGTAACAATGAATGCAAAAATATATGGGTTCATGTTCGGGAATTACCCCCATTTAAGGGTACCGCCCCATTTGCGGTATTTTGCAAGTCCTAGTTTCATTATCCAACCGAAGCAGCTAAGTTTTCAAAGGATAGAATACCTCCTCATAGACATTTTTTTAATATGGGGCCATATTTCCAACTAGTGTCTATGAAAATGTCCTGTTTTTTATAGTGGTCAACATCACCCGAATTTGAAATTTTTTATTTAAAAAAATTTTTGGCTTAAAAAAATTAATAAAAATTAAAACCGATGGTAATTACAGCTAAACGTACATTTTTATTGTGGAAAACAAAGTTCTATATAACGTACACATTTACATTGTACCGAATTATGTTAATCCAGTAGGTTTTAATTGTCAATTCTCCTACATATTTGTCAAATAAATCCTCATAAAGAAGGTTAACCCTGCAAAAGGTTCTAATGTACATGTCGCTTAAATTATTTATAGTACGTTTACATTTAACCGGATTTCGTTAACCCAGTGGGTTTCAATTGTCAATTCCTTTGCATATTTTGAAAAATATGTCATTTATTTTTATTTTGAATCAAAAAATATTTGTTTACAAAAGCAAAGGTTTGACTTTTATTTTTTTTATTTATTTATTTATTTATTCCAAAAATGCAATTTGAAGCCATTAAGGCCGAGATTTCATTTAAATTTCTTTATATTTGAGACAAAAACAACTTTTTTGACTTTTGTGATAAAAACATTTTTCAAATCACAGATTTCAATAAGAGCTTAACAAAATTTTCAACATTGCAATAATTTACTAAAACGCATGTTAGATTTTGGTTTTTACTAATTAGGATACTGTCATATTTCAAACATTTTCTAAGATATGGGGGTGGTCCACATTACCCCATGTTACTCTATATTCCTTTTATAAATGTCAAAATATTTTCTTAAATGTATTGGTATTAAAAAATATTCAGTTGAAATATTATACCAAATTTGATTTCATTTTATATCCAAAGTTCCTCTATGTTATTCCCCACATTGGGCACACAACCTTCATCCGATTTTTTTGGATATAAATAATATCTGTCAGCAATTGATTTATTTTCTTCCCTCCAAAAATTAAAAAAACTGCATTTTGGAATTCCTTAATCATGACTAAAATTTTATTATTCCGGAAACAGGTAAATTTGTGAAATTTCAATTTTTTGTTTTATTTATTTCTTCTACTTCTGGCAATCGAAGATAGATCGAAGCCCTCTACCCCCACCACCACCAAGACGGTCTATTTTAATAGACATATTCATGGTTATTCGGAATATTTTGTTGATTATTTGGCTAAAAGTAATAATTCAAGTTCATCATATTCACACCTAGTGTAATGAAAACAAATAACAATTTTATTGAATTGAATATAAATGTGGTTATGATGATGATGGTGAGAAGGTTTAAAGTTTTGCTGTGAGTGTAAAGCCCATTCTCGATAAATTAATGTTTATAAACAATTTTTATTTATTTTAATAATTTGTTTGCTTTAAAAAGAAATTATAGCTAACCGAAAGAAAGCAAGTAGCTTGTGATGATTAAGCGTTTAGCACATGCCTTTGATAAATAATTGGGGTGTACAACATTTTTGCTGATTATAAACAGAGAACAACAACGACAAACGCGTTTACTGCTGCTGGTGATTCAGTCAATATCAATTTAAGATTATTTTTTATAAATAAAAACCTCAATGGTTAAATGATGAAATAGATAATTAAACATTAATATGTGGTATAGGAAAAATAATAGTACATTTACATTGTACTCGATTTCGTTGAGCCAGCGGTTTTAAATTAAAAAAATTCTAATGTACATGCCGTTTAATACACGAAAAAATAAACTACAGCCTACACGAAATTCACATTTCGAAACTAAAAATGTGTCTTTATCACCAAAAATATTTCATTCTTCCTTTTTCTTTAAAAATTGGATATTTAATTTATTATGTTTATTTTCTTTTAAAAACGTTAAATAAATATGAGTGTATCACCTTTTCTTTTTTTAATATAAATTTCGTAATCTTATCGTTTCTTAATTAAACAGTGACGTACATATGTACAAACATTTGTGTTGTAGTACATATTCCAATATTCTTGTTACCGCTGCCGGTTGATATTAAAAGGAATTCCCCTTCAAAAAAGGTGACAGTAGTTCTTGTTTCGCTTTTGTTTTACTTGGTAACAAAGAACCGCGACAGTTATTTGTTTATGACTTCGTGTTTCAATTGTATTTGTTATTTGATTTTGGAAATGTTTTTTTTTTTTTTTTTTTTTTGTAAATACAAATATTTGGTTACCAAACATATGTTTTTTAATATATTTGTTAATCCTTTTGGTACAGTCGTGAGTGATAAGGTTAGGGTATCTTTCAACTCTTCTATACTTTAAAAAAATTTGGAGTAGAGTTTACAAAAAAACAATTGTGTCTCCGCAGATAATTT